AAATACTCGCAAGTGGAATATACGGAATCAGACTTCTTGAATTAACAGTTCATTTTAGAGGAAATTAATTTCAAAGATCTAGGCAATCGTTGTTCGAATCTTCATCATTTAAGATGAAACCTAGATTGTTCGTTATATTCCCATAACACACGACGATGTAAAGGATCAATGGTGATACATGGTATCAAATGAAAGGAGTACATAAGATCGAATATCTTGGAGTACAGTTACGTTCAAGAGAAAATTTCAAAAATCTAGACAACCGTAATCGTCCAAGATGCAACCCCAATTGTCTGTTGCGTTCCTATATTGCACGACCTTGCACATTGGCTTATTCTCTCTCTCAATAGAGTTTTACCTTCTCGAAAGCTGCCTGGGTAATTTGTTGCCAGCCATACGCACACTTGACTCGTAATTATTATGTTTCGATGGAGCTACTGAAGGAGGTTGCTCTCGAAACGAGAAGAAACGTATTTGCTTTCTTTTTCATTCCGAGGCACGAGTATTCGTTACACGCACCCAGTACCTTTAGGCTATTTAAATTTGATATTTACTTCGAAATTAGTGCTTCACTTGTCTAAATTAATTTCACTCCAAACACGTTTCCCTTGTTTAACTTTCTGCGTTTAATTGCATGACTAATGATCTGAAATGTGAAGTTAAACGCACTATGTACAAATGATAATAATTGAAGTGGTACGTTGAAAATAAATTGGTTTGGGCTAGTCCATGTAATTAGGTATCGCTAATAAGGTATTATACTCGAATGATAATAATTAAAGCGGTATGACGAAGATAGATGGCTCTACATGTAATTACATCTCTGTTTAAATAATAGCAGATATTAATTTTAGCAAAACCGGCTGCTTTCTATAACTGCAAAACTAAAATGTCGAAAACCAGCAATTTTGACTCACTTGATAAATCTAATATTAAAATAATAAGCAATTCGAATTTCACACTACCCGTTATACAGAAATAAATTATTATATCCGCAGCGAAAGTTCCCTAATAGACCAATTAAAACCACCGTGACTGGTTGAAAAATTCGAATTCTATTTTATTTTACGTTTCCTTAACATTTAGCATCCCGAAAATGACTTCGCAAAATATCAAAATAAAATTTGTAAAAATAAGAAAAACCAATGCTTGCCATCGCTGCAATAATTAACACCTCAAAAATTGGAAAAATTTTCAAAACCATTAAATCAAAGACACCTACAAGAAAGAAAAAATGAAATTAATTAAAAGAAAAAAGATTCTTGAAAATAGCCATTATTCTGGACAATCACGGTGGTTTACTCTCTGAAATCGAAGAAATAAACAAAAGAATAACTGGAAAAGGAGGCAAAACAAGGAAGTAATTAACGCACAAACGATAATTGTCTAAAATAGAATAAATGAGAAAGAAATCGGTACGTGAATATGTTTACACGCGTTTAGACACGTGGCAAGAAACGGAACGGTGAAACACAATCGCAAGAAGACAATTCATGTGGGAAGAACGAGACGTGTTTTCACCCGCGCTGAAAAATCCGCGAGCGGAAGAGGTTGGGCAGGTAAGAAAGTTCCTCATCGTCCAGTCGTGCATAAGACAATTGCGATGCCGACCAATTAAGCCCCGGCCCACGCTTCATTTTTCTTTCCATTCAGCTCGATCCTCTTCCGCGTCGATAGCATCTCGGTTGCGCTTCGATTCTTCTTTTCGAGCCTTCTGTCTCGACGGATAGTCCATTTTTCTCCCGTTGAGTTTCCTCAACTACTCCAGCATCTAATCGCGAGCTGTCCACGAGATTCCGTGCCCTTTTCTCATGCTGATTCCTACATTCCTACTATCCACGACGGTCTCGCGATCAGGCGACTTGGTGTCAAATTCTGATATAATATATACAGTATGCGACAGAATAATGGAACAGCCTGTAATTTCCAATGTTTCTTGAAACTAATATCGTACAATGTATGCATATGTTACACGTGTACTCGCATAGTATGTCTGCTCCTCAATCATACAGAAGAATATTGACTACAGCTTACAATTCTCTGTACAAATTTTACTCGTTTATGTGAAAACTGACTGCGACAAAATGATAACACACGTACCAAGAAAAGAAGGATCAACGAGATTTTGACTTTTGAAAGTGGAAATATTATAATTAATATATATTATCAGGTGACGAATCCGAATATGGAAACAGAAGATGCTTACTACCTTAGGTTTATGAAAGAGATAAATAAGTATATCGATTCTTGGCATTTTCACGAAAATATTTTAAAGACAGTAATTTTTTTCCAAAATCTTTATCAACTGCCTTGTACAGCACTAAGCCTCATCTTTAAAATCAAATTGGATTTATGATCAAGCAATTTTTTTTTGTCGAGATATACCGCTCTGAAGTTACTCGAGAAAAACTGAGAATTATAGAATGTGCTATGATTTTGTCACGCACTGAAGGCCTAGGCCCTTGAAACGATTGTGAAGAATATGAACGTTTATACCGTGGACTATTCTTTAAGCAACTATTCGTTGTAGAATTGCAAAAGGAAGCTTGCAAGAAGGAAGAAAGCGTCTAGCTAGCTAGAAGCACGAATTCCTTAAACGCGTTCCAAACCGCAGGAGCCACTCGTGGCCCAAGCCAGTCGACAGAGACAAAACCTTCATTAGACGAGTAAAAATATCTTTCAACATACTGCTCGAATAACTCAGTGTCGAGAGTAAAAATAACTCAAAGTATCAAGCATTCGACGCAATCGTTATAACTCTCTGATGAAATACTGCGATTTCTAGAGCCTAGCTAGACGCTCCGATCGGGCCACGTTCACTCTATCTTGCACATGGGACGCGTTTCTTGTCAGGGAAAAGGAAATACGTGGCTGCATGTGCAACGGGAATGCACTTATTATTAGTTTCATTTAGAACATCGATCGTGGTTCGCGTCTACGTGGGTCGACCCCTTTCATGAGTTCTATCGACTGACCCTATATGTCTTCCGTGGGTGTCGTCTCGGACCATCCGTTGTAATTATACGGGATTATTTGTTAGTCATGGTTATTAGGTGTACCTTGATGATCGTTCCTGCTTGATGGAATCGTTTATTTTGGGAATGACACGTGACTTCGCGCATCTTCCCGATATTACACTGCGATTCAGATCCGATGATAGATCTTAGATCTGATGCGATGTGATTTAGATATGAAACCTGTGTGGAGATGCTCGTGGTATTTTAATAGGTGGGAGCATTTAATTGCACGTGTCGGTCATGGGCTCAGAGTAATTAATTCCGATTTTTGAATCTTTTCAAACTTTTACGTCGAACAACTTGATCGATGCTGTATTTTTGATATTTAAAATGAATTTTTAGTTGTTGTTTGGGTCTTGTCGAATCGATTTCACAAATCAAAGGTTCATATGTATAGACGACGCGATAGTTCAACCCTTTGCGTGGTTAGAATTAGGTCTCCTATCAAACTCTTGTATTTTCCTTCGTTTATTGAAATATAAAAAATGGTCTTTTGAAATAAAGCGTAATTTCATGAAGATGTAGACTGAGCTGTAATTTTACTATTTTTCGAAAGTGATTCATTGTCTAAAAATCAAAATAAAATGTAGGACGACATTTGGACTGTGGAAGATTAAGCTATTTATAAATAAATACTACCACTACTACTATTACTACTACTACTAATAATAACAACGAAAAATTGGGAACTAATAATTAATATTAACAGAAACGAATAATAATAAAAAGATACCTAATTAATGACAATAAAAACGACTAATAATGAGAAAAATAATTACTAATAATAAAAATAAACTTGTTCAATAGAGGGGTTTTATTTCGCGTAATCTGTAAGGGTCATATCGTCTTATTTTAGTTCAGTTAAATTGAATCTGGGTTAAATCTTGATAAAATCTAAGACGAAGTTCTGTAGTCGATGAGATTGAAGTCCTTGTTAATTTAATTCTTATCGAACTCTCCTATTACTGCAAGGAAAGATATTAATTTCAGGAAGTCTGTTCCCTTCGGACCAATAGATCTTCAAGGTGAAGATGTCGAAGATAACTTTCGATTCTCATTATTTCGATAGCAACGAGAGAATGGAACTGGATACTTGACTTTCCTGAACTTCGAATCTAAAGAATCAAAACATAATTTTACCTGTTAGCAACAATTTAAGAATCTAAAATTGTGGAATTTAGCAAGTAATTAAATGTCGACCCCTCGCATACACTATCTATTAATGGCAAAATTTTCAAAAGAGAGAAAAAGACCCCAAAGAAGTTGCTATTCCTTGAGTTTGAAAATCAAACTTGTTTAGCAGAAACATGCAAAATTTCTTTTTGCTAATGTTGCAAATTTCTCGATCAATTTCTCCTAACAGGAAGAAATAATTTTAAATGGAAAAATCGTTGACCCTAATGACGAAAGGTAGTCGTTACACGATTGCTATACCAAACCTCTATACATTTATTTAAGATTTAAATAAATATAGTGTATTTACCCAAAAATATATTCTAATTAACTAAAAATTCTAATTAACTAATTTACTGACTAATTTACGATAAAAACTGCATCAAAAGAAAGAAATTCTCTAAAAGCAATCATTCTTTAAGGTTCAAGATTAAAGAAACATCACACTGTTCAAAAAGTCTTTGAAACAACCTAAACTTCGAAAATTACGAAACGAAACGAGTGAAATATAAAATTTCCTATGAACCTCTCAAGAAATAAAGAATTCTCTACATTCTAATTAGAAAAATATCATATACTTCTAAAATTACGAAACGTAGCCTCTAAAATATCCAAAAATTCGCGACACGGTCCCCACCACTATGGCCAGGTATATCAGTATAATCTAAGATAAAAGGTTCTTTGAAAATAATCCTTCCTCGAGCTTCAAACTCGAACGATCATCGCGTCATCCGTGACGCCTTCGCAACGCGTCTAAGCTTCCGAAATCACGGAGCGTAACTCGTAAGATATCAAAAAAACTCGACTTACCACATCGCCTGCACCGATACCGGCTTGAAGATGTGCTGCGAATTGCAAACGCTGACGCTGAAGCCTCTGCAACAGAAAAGAGAAAAAGAGTTAGAATGCGAGCCTCCGGGAAGCATCGAGGGTCACACCGTTCACCTTATACAGGGTGGTCAGCCGATCGTATCGACGAGCTATTTTATTGCCAGCCGAAACGGACCGACTTCCACGTTCTACAGCCGGCTATTTTCGAGCAAGCACGGCCTGTTATACTCTCGCGTGGTTTCTACCTCGTTCGAACCCTTCAGAGACGTTCTACTTTCGTAGACAGGTGTCAGCCACGGTTTTTAAACGGATACTGCGCAAGGAACGTCAGTCTAGAAACTCTGACGGGAAGGTACCGGCTTTGAGATCAGAATATCGTGTTTACGATACCCTGGTAAGAATATTTTCGGGTTCTATCAGGGAGTTCTGCTTCGCTAGATAGTTCTAGGGGCTCGGTAGATGGAGGAGAAATTGAGCGATTGGAACTTCTTGCAGAAGTTTGCATTTGATCGTCAGGATTTCGTCTATACGTTGACAAAGTTTGTAAAATTGCATTTCGAAGGTACAGAGAGAGATTGAATTTGAGTTTAAGGAAAGTTTGTGTAGGCTGCATGGGTAATTGGACATCCGTGATTCAAATGTAATCTGGCATACGAAAGTATACGAAATGTGGACGTTATACCGACATGTTTAAAACGATGTATGACGGGTAGAAAGTCTTAAGATTGTACAAGTAAAATTGGAAAATAATTAAACGGTATATGTGACATTTACAACGTGTGTATTTATTGTAAGTACGAACTGTGGCGCTAGTGTGTTAAATGGAAAGTCGCTTTAAGGCTATCTCATGCAGTAAAAGTTCAATCAATAACATACCGAAACTTTTTATTTTTTAATTAATACCGTTTTCGATTATTATTATTATACATTGTTTATTTAAAATAAATCTATATTTTTGTATATTAAATATATTTAATTCTGTATGTCACTGAATTATTTATTATTCTTATTGACAGAATCTTGAGATTTCAGTTTAAGATGCAAAATTCATTTGTTAAAACCGGAAAATGCAAATGCTGGAATACTTCTATAATTTCCTTCCTTGTTACAATTAAATTTGGTAATAAGAAGGAACTATCTGTTATTTGAATACAAAAGAGAAATCAGAGGAGGGAAAAATGAAACCTGATTTCTGATACAGCACGTCTTTACAACCGCAGATAATTAAATTTATCGTTGAGAATATATTTAATAAAATCTTTAAAGGATAGTATTAGAAGTACTTAATGCCTTTTTGCAGTTGACGCGACGTAAATTTATTTTGGCGTGACGATAAATTATTTTCCCGCGTTACGAGACTAAATATATCATTAGAATTTCAAATACAATACCCAGCAGCTTTTTCTTTCGAATAAATTTATTCGCTAAACCTGCTAGACATAACTGTGCATAAACTTAGTTTCAATCACTAATTTTAACTGCTTTAATTACCACGAATTATTAGCCTCGCAATGTATCGTACATGTGTACAATACATTGAAAGTATACGTACGTGCACATGGGAGGTCGAAAATGAAATTGAATACAAGGTCATTGTAACGCGAGAAAAAAATAAAAATACAAAAAATATAGAGGTGAAGAAATATTTAGGTAATTATGAAACGTGTAATTTTAAATAGGCCAAGATCGATGCAATTTGCACGCGGTTATTAATAAAATCATATTTCGATGAACGAGGTTTCCCATTTGGGCAAACCACAACACTAGAAGCCCGATGGAAGCCAAATTACACGTTCGAATACGTTCAAGGTGTGGTAAGACAAACAAAGAACATAACGTTTTTAGAGTGAAAGGGTTTCTAAAGTTAGCCATAAGTCCCTGCGTAAGTATCCTAATGCGGCGTACAATTTGCTCGTAATGTAGGAGGAATGCTTATGAGAGATTAACAAAGAGTCAAATATAATTCCGAGGTCACGTATCGTAGAGTGAAGCGAGTGTAGTGCATTATCTAGCACATAAGGGAACGGATCTCTGCTGCGTAAAAATTAGTTTCGTATTAAATCTCGTACCAATCTTGGTGTATCGTGTAGTCAATTAAAAGAACTATTTTTAGATCGTGCATACATTAAATTCCACAAACACGATAGAAATATTTAAACGGAGAAATTAATATGGAAATTTATTAATTTATATTAAGGCGTGGAAAATAGAATTGAAAACATTTATAGAAGCATACGAAACGAAGAGAGGAAAGAAAAAAAATAAGGTAATGTAAAAGTACACACTTTGGGGCGTAGATTACATAAAATACGATAAATGTAGTTAAAAGTGAAGGGGGAAATAAAATTACCACAGATTTATAGAAGTGTGATAGAAGTAAATGAAAAGTAAATTAATAGAAAAAGTTATATCTTGAACCTTAGGAAATATAATTCTGAAGATAATGCAAAATATAATAAAAATGATTAAAAGAATAAATTATATATTGGAGTAAAGATTAAATTAATTCGAGAAGTTAGGTTAAAAAATAGAAAATGCTATTCTGTACACATAAAGTATAATTGAGTTAAAATAAATACAATTTAATGGGGAATATAATCAAAATTGTTAAAAGCCTAAATTAGTTTGAGAAATTATGTTAAAGAATAGAAAATATGACTCTGAACACACAAAGAATAAATTAATTAAAATAAATATACTTTAACGTATAGAAATATAATACTTTAGATAGGTAATGTTTTAAAAAAACATTTCGTAATCTACAAATTAAATATTTTCAAGTAGTTATATTTTAAGACTTTTAAAAGAATTTTTTAGATGTTTATCGTAAGAGATTATCATAAAATTCACCTATAACTAGATGGAATACAATTTTGCAAGAAAACAGATTTGCAATATCACTAAACTAATTCTACACCACAACGTATAACAAATATACATTTACCATGTGTAACGTGTAATACGCAAAATGATACGATATAATATAATACGACACGAAAAACCAGAATAAAATATTATATTGCGATTAAATAATTACGACGAAAAACACGAAAATCTAACACTTACCTAACAATATAACCTATAAACCTAACGGATCAATGGTATGAAATCGAGAACGACAAACGTTCACTCAAAATCACGAATATCTCGTTACTGATACTCAAAAGTAACCTTACAAAGGCAACGGAGAAAAGAAGGATGACGAAGAAAGACATTTGACGCGTTACAACTCGATAAACAAACTGAACCTCGACGTAACCTCACATAACCTTATTCTCCAATATCTTTTCGCGCGACAATAATATAATCTCAAAGTATTTACTCACTGGAAATTATCATTCGCCCAATCGCACTCGTGTAGCAGCATCGTTGAGGAACAAGAATGTCGACAAATAAACACAATTCGACCGAAGAAAAATCACTCGTCACTGTCGAAACTTGACAACGTACGCACGTTTTCGCTTCCCTGTCCCGTTTACTCGCTTCGGTGGACTACTTCCCGTACGTTCCCCCACCACCGCGCTCGTTCGATGTCTCGATTTCGAGGCAGCAATCGACGTCACGCGGTTGAGCAAACTTCAGCCCGGAATTACAACGGTAACGCGATTCCCAGTTTGCAACGCGTTACGACACGCGCTGCACATCCAGCATAACCGTTAATTACGCATTATATAAAACCGAGACCGGTGCAAAATCGGCGGCCAGGCGAACGTCACGCCGCGTCACTTTATCCTGGCCGCGCATGCGCGTTTCCGGGAAATCCATTCCGATTCCGCGATCAGCTTTCCCCGTGGAAACGGTACTTACTTGTCGTCATTACGGCCACGCGCGTCGTTAGGGACGCTGCACCGAATTAAGTTTACAACGCCGATGAGATGAGCGTTTATTCGCAGTCGGTTTCGACGCTTGTTGGACGTTCCGGAGCGAAGATACTACTAACGCATCGTTGCGTTTCATGATGCCGGATGGGAGTAGAAGATACTTTCTAATGCTGTGACGGTTGGTCATTGGAAGGAAGTTGAATCTGGATCTTAATTCTACGTAACCGGGTTTTTCTTTGAACGTCAGAGGAAAATTTGTGGGAATTTTAGCATTACAGTATTGCGTGTCGTTTAGATTAGCGAGGTATATAACAAAGTCTGATACCAGTGTCAGCAATGAATGAACGCAATTCAGATACCAATTTTTAGCAAGAAAGGAATATTTTTTCCTGTAATGACTATTGGTTATATATTTATTGATTCTATTCTTTGTTGAATTATTGATTATTATTACACAGATTATTATTTATTTATTCAATATATTTATTGGTTATATTATTATTCCATATTTATTCCTATATTATTGATTTATGCCAATTTCATACTGTCATTTTTGTTGGATCTACACTCTTCGATCACACATTGATTAGATTGCAATTTTAATTAATACTTATATTAGCACACTTAATTCTCTATTAATTTCTCTATTAATTCTGAAGAGGTATCTATGTTGTTTTAATTAGCAGTACTTAGGTGCATTGATAAAATATATATCATGTTACTCTATATGACGTTACTCTATATGACAATATCTTCCATTTAATATTTTAACCCTTTCGCCCCGACTAGGTTCATACAAGCCTCGAAAATGGTATTTCCAGCCTATTTCATTTCCACACTTCAATTCTTCCAACTGTCGAACACATTCGTGTCCTCTAGTCCCACAGGCGAACGGATAGCTGACGCGAGATTAGCTTTTAGAAATAACTGTGTTCGTCTGATTAATGGTGTAGGATCTAGCTGTTCGTGACATGGACATGACAGCGGTGGCAATTCTTGAATTACTGAGTTGCGGGTAGAGTTTAACTCGTCTGAAGATGATATCCATAGAGAATGGTGACGTGGGTGAGATTTATACAGGAGACCTAACCTTCCTGCTAATTTTCATACGCGAATTTTTTTCTGCTTCTTCGGATCGGAACCGTCAATTTGTACACGTACACTTGTCAATCTGTGCAAACGTATAGAAAGCTTCATTCCCATATAGAACTTACAATATTTGTG